TTTAATCACTCCCACTCTCTTATTACTCCAGTTCATCTTATGGACAGTTTAATTCATTCCAAATGCTATATAATTCACCCATAAAAATGCCTAATTTGTTATCTAGTTCACTAAATAGCCCACACTATATCTATAGTTAGTGATTTCTTCACCTCAGCCTCCCAAACACTGGGATTACTGTCAAGCTTCGTGATGTTTATAATCTAATTCTTGCCCTTTTCTAACTACCTTAGTTAATCTATATCCACCTAAGTGTTTCCTAGATCTGTTCTTTGAGATCCTGCCATTATAACCTCTTAAATAAGACTTGTTTTATTCCCTCATCTCCAACCCAGAAGCATCTAGATGAAAAGGGACACAATTTCTTTTTTGGGTCCGGTCGTGGGGCCTGAACTCTGGGCCTGGGCACTGTCCCTTAGCTCTTCAGCTCAAGGCTAGCACTCTACCACTTGAGCCACAGCGCCACTTCTAGCTTTTTTCTTTTTTGCTTATGTGGTGCTGAGGAATCGAACCCAGGGCCTCATGCATGCAAGGCAAGCGCTCTACCACTGAGCCACCTTCCCAGCCTGGGACACAATTTCTTAAGCAAAGTAATGACACAGAGGAAGAATTATTTGTAGAACATCAACCAATTATAGGTGTGGGCTTTGTGTAGATTCTGATTTGAATGTACCAATGGTAAAGGGCATTTTTTGATTTATCTAGGGAAATTTTCATATGGACTGGATGTTAAAGAATGCCAAAAAATCACTAATTTTATAAGATGTTAAGCCAGGTGCCAGTGGCTCATGCCTATAATCCTTGCTACTCAGGAGGCTGAGATCTGAGGATCACAGTTCAAAGACAGCCTGGGCAGGAACAACCAGGAGACTCTTATCTCCAATAAACCACTAGAAAATAGGAAGTGGTGCTGTGGCTCAAGCGGTAGAGTGCTCACCTTGAGCTGAAATAGCAATCTTAAGCAAAACAATCTGAATAGAATTTGAAGAAAGTAATTTCATTATGCTGTCATTTTTTTAGACTTCTCAACATTCTATGCAACCATACTAGATTTTTTTGTTTTTTGTTTTTGTTGGTCATAGGGCTTGAACTCTGGGACTGGGTGCTGTCCCTGAGCTCTTCAGCTCAAGGCAAGCATTCTATCACTTGAGCCTCAGCACCACTTCTGGTTTTCTGGTGGTTAATTGGAGATAAGAGTCTCCAGGGCTGGCTTTGAACTGTGATCCTCAGCTCTCAGTCTCCAGAGTAGCTAGAATTATAGATATGAGCCACCAGCACCTGGCCGCACTAGATTTGTTGTTGTTGTTTCTTTTGATTGTGTCACTACATATTTATTGCCCATGAATTTGTACATTGTTAACAGATAAATTACCTGTTGTCAATAATCATTACATGAGAAGATGGAATCCCCCAAACATCACAGCTCTGCAAGTTCTTTCTTTTGAATCTCTCCTTGATTGTAGTAATTTCCTGAGGATAACAAATATAGTCTTTGATTTCTTTTTTTCTTTTTGTCAGCCATGGGGCTTGAACTCTGGGCCTGGACACTGTCCCTCAGCTCTTCAGCTCAAGGTGAGCGCTCTACTGCTTGAGCCATAGCGCCACTTCCCGTTTTCTAGTGGAGATCAGAGTCTCAGAAACTGGGTGCCAGTGGCTCACGCCTGTAATTCTAGCTATTCAGGAGGCTGAGATCTGAGGATTGAGGTTCAAAGCCAGCCTGGGCAGGAACAACCAGGAGACTCTGATCTCCAATAAACTACCAGAAAATTGGAAGTGGTGCTGTGGCTCAAGTGGTAGAGCACTAGCCTTGAGCTGAAGAGCTGAGGGACAGCACCCAGGTCCAGAGTTGGAGCCCCACCACTGACAAAAAAAAAGAAAAAAAAGTCTCACAGACTTTCCTGCCCGGGATTGGCTTTGAACCACGATCCTCAGATCTCGGCTTCCTGAGTAGCTAGGATTACAGGCATGAGCCACCAGCACCTGGCAAGTCTTAGATTTCTTTAACCATGGAAACCTATCTTACTATTCTTATCCTGCCTTGCCTTGTTCCCTACAAGATTTAAACTACCTGAGAAAATATATGATTATGATGAAGAAAATATAACTCTTAAGGTTACTATAAAATATTCCTACGAAAGAGGATTACCAGCATCTCACTTTTTAGTATCACCATTTACAATACTCTATCTATCTATCTGCATGTGATAGAGACAGCATAGTATATCTTTTTTCTTTTTTTTTTTTTGTCGGTCGGTGGTGGGGCCTGAACTCTGGGCACTGTCCCGCAGCAATTCAGCTCTTCTGCTCTAGCTAGTGCTCTACCACTGGAGCCACAGCACCACTTCCAGCTTTTTCTGCTTATGTGGCGCTGAGGAATTGAACCCAGGGCCTCATGCATTGGAGGCAAGCACTCTACCACTGAGTCACCTTCCCAGCCCCAACATAGTATATCTTGAAGTTAAAACAGATGTTTTTTTTTTTTGGTCCGGACGTGGGGCCTGAACTCTGGGCCTGGGCGCTGTCCCTCAGCTCTTCAGCTCAAGGCTAGCACTCTACCACTTGAGCCACAGCGCCACTCCACTTTTTTCTGCTTATGTGGTGCTGAGGAATTGAATCCAGGGTCTCATGCATGCAAGGCAATCACTCTACCACTGAGCCACCTTCCCAGCTCCCACAAAACTCTTTATCTCCAATAAAGTACTCAAACAGGCTGGAAGTGCCATTGTGGCTCAAGTGGTAGAGCACTTGCTTTGAGCAAAAGAGGCTTAAGGACAGTGCCAGTTCCAAAGTTCAAGCCCCAGGATCAGCAAAATAATTTTTTTGAGGGGCTGGGAAGGTGGCTTAGTGTTTGCTTTGCATGCATTAGGCCGTGGTTTGATTCCTCAACACCACATTAGCAGAAAAAGCTGGAAGTGGTGTTGTGGCTCAAATGGTAGGGTGCTAGCCTTGAGCTGAGGAGCTAAGGGGCAGTGTCCAGGCTGAGTTCAGCCCCCACGACTGACAAAAACTATTTTTTTTGAATGCAAACTGGCTACTGGTGGCTCACATCTCATCTAGCTACTCAGGAGGCTGAGATCTGAGGATTGTGGTTCAAAGCCAGCTTGGGTAGGAAAGTCCATTTAAGCATCAATTAAGCACCAAAAACTTGAAAGTAGACCTGTGGTTCAAGTAGTAGAGTGCTAGACTTGAGCGTGCGCACGCACACGCGTGCGTGTACACACACACACACACACAAATAAATGCAGGGACAGTGCCTAGGACTGGCACATGAAAACAAACAAAAACCAAAACAAAATAAAAACCAGTCATGAAAATTTCTGATATAGGCTACAATATTGATGAACTTTAAAATAAGTCACTGTAATATTTTAGTTATATGAGGAACTTATAGTAGTCAAAGTCAAAGGTGTGAAGCAGAATGGTAATTGTCAGAGACCAAGAGGAAGGAACTGGAGCTATTGCCTAATGAGTTATAAAGTTTCTGTTTGGAATGATGAAATGGAAGTCATGATTACACAATCTTATGAATGCCTTTACTGCTACCCAGCTGAATACTTTAAATGTTTCAAATGATTAATTTTGAATTCTGTATATTTTAACACAATTTAAAAAATCATCCAAAAAGGAAACTAGATTTTTCATTGAATAAGAACCTTTCAATTACAAGTGATCAACATAAAACATAACTATCTTTAAAACATGAATTTTTTTTTTGTAGTCATGTAGCTTGAACTCTGGGCCTGGGCACTGTCCCTCAGCTCTTCAGCTCAGAGCTCAAGGCTGCCCAGCTCAGATGAAATAATTTTTTAAAAAGACATTTAAATTTAAAAAAAAATTAAGCTGGGCTCCAGTGGCTCATGCCTGTAATCCTAGCTACTCAGGAGGCTGATATCTTAGGATCATAGTTCAAAGCCAGCTCAGGATAGAACATCTGTGACTCTTATATTCAATTATATTCAACCATCAAAAAACAAACAAACAAGCAACCCCCTCGCTTTGAACACAAAAATTCAGGGACAGTGCCCAGGCCCTGAGTTCACACCGCAGGACTGGCACCAAAATTAAAAAACAATTGAGCACACATTTTTGTAGTCAAAATCAAGAAACATTGACATATACTATTCTCAATCCATCTGGCCATACTTGGGAGTGGTATGCTGCTCATGATTCCCCCAAAGGTCTGCATCCCTACCAATTTTACTTATGGAAATGCTTTTTCTTAGTTGCATGAATCTGTGACTTCACGATGGTCAAAACAAGGCCAAACACATTGAGAAATGTCTATTTCTCAATATGGCAGGCATATTTATATAAAATGGAATGAGAACTGTGTATGAGTGACAACAGTGTATGGGGGTGAAATTAAAACAAGTATTTTCAATACCAAGCTCTTCAGAACACATCATTTTGTTGATCACTCCCTTCCTATACTTCTGTCAGATTACTATTAGTCAGATTACTACTACTGGATTACTACTACAGCATTTTATTTTTTTTTTACACTTGCTTCTCTTTTACTGTTTCACAGGCAATCCTTGTCCCTGTGGAATTTCTCTGTGGTCTTCATTGTTCAAACTGGCCTTGAACTCCTGGGCCCACATCCTCTTCCTGCTTCAACCTCCCCACTACAGGCCTGCATCATTTGTGCTTTGCTGACATTTTTTTTGGAGGGGGGCAGTATTGGGGTTTTTGAACTCAGGACCTCATGTTTCCTAGGGGTGTGCTCTACCATTGAGCCATAGCCCTTTTGTGCCCTGGTTATTTTTGAGACAGTGTCCCACTGGACAGTGTCACCTGGACGGTGACTTACTTATTTTATTCTTCCCATCATATCTGGGATGACAGGTGAGTATGCCCATGCCCAGTTTCTTCTGTTAAAATGGAATATCCACTGGGTGGCTAGCATCTCATCTGTAATCCTAGCTACTCAGGAGACTGAGATCTGAGGATCACAACTTAAAGCCAGCCTTGTTTCCAATTAAACATTAAAAAGCTGGAAGTGGAGCTGTGACTCAAGTGGTAGAGTGCTAGCCTTGTGCCATAAGAAAGCTCAGGGACAGCAAGTCCCTGATTGGCACCAGGAAAAAAAAAAGACTTCTGTGAAAGTTGTATAAACTACACAAAACCAAAGGGGAAGAGCTCATGAGCAATTTTTAAAGTTTATTACAGTATGATTTGACACTATAGAACTTCACTCATTGTATGTATACAATTCAGTTTATTCAGTTATAAAGTTGTATAATTATCATAATTAAGTATCATGGTTAACATTTTTCTCATCTGATTTTTCCTCCTATATCCTATCACAAGGCATTATTTGAAAGGCTCCTTCCCTGAATGTTGGATGGGGATGAACTCTAAAATCATCTACAGAATTACTTTCGAGTAGGCATCTGAGTAACTCCTCCAATGAGCCACAAGCATTTTTCAAAGTAAAAGGAAGATCCTGTGCTTTTTTTTTTTTGTTTTTGGCCGGTTCTGGGGCTTGAACTCGGGGCCTGGCCACTACCCCTGTATTATGTCCCTCTATTATTATGTCCACTCTATTATGAGAGCCATAGCGCCACTTTCGGCCTTTTCTGTTTATGTGGTACTGAGGAACCAGGGCTTCATGCATGCTAAGCGAGCACTCTACCACTAAGCCCCATTCCCATCCCCTCTGTGCTGTTCTTAGAAGTAAAACCTCAAAGGTCAAGCAGGCCCAGTACAGCAGATAGTTTGGTGTACAGTACAACATAAGGAAGATGACTGCTCTTGACACTTTGCAAATAAAGGTTCCCTAGTATCAACAAATA